GTATGTATGTATGTATGTATGTATGTATGTATGTATGTATGTATGTATGTATGTATGTATGTATGGGAGGAGACGTTTGATTGATGTGGAACGTGTAGTTGTTCTGGAACACTTAAAAGCAAGTGCACTTTACAGAATTATGGCTTGCAAGATATCACGTAATCTTTTTATCCTCTTGATCGTCCAATAGCTACCGCCAGCGGAAGCATCACCTTCTCGGAAGCTAGACATGCATGCATAGTGCGCTTCAGGGATCACAGGACTCATTACTGGAATTTTACTGCTGATACGTTCATTAATACTGTCACTACCATTGTACTGACAATAGAGCTATTAATGGATGATCCATGGGCGAGTAAATTTGATTGACTTTTAAGATAAGATCTTAGTGATTTACATCTTGTGCTTTGCATGTGAGCATTTGTTAATCAACTTTCAATACATAGTTTACCGTGTTTTACTAAGAAAATAACGAAATTAATGTCATTAGATAACAGTGCATAGATAAAGGGATGGTTACAAACTCAGATTAAAGAAATATATATATATATATGATTGGATTCTGGGAGGCCCCACGATCTTACTACCAGTGTAGCTGGAATCTTCCGCCAAATGCAAATATTCGGAATTTTATTGTTGAAATGTAACTCAAGACCTTGCAGCAATAAAAGTGGATTGCAGATTGGCCCATAAATGGGAAGACACGTTTGATTCACTTAGAACGTGTAGTTGTTCTGGAATACTTCAAAACAAGTACACTTCGACAGAAGAATGGCTCGCAAAATATCCCGTAATCCTTTCATCCCCTTGACCTTGCAATAGCTACCGTTAACGGAAGCATCTCGGAGGTTAGACATGCATGCGCCTCAGTGCTCACAGGACTCATTAGCGGAATTTTACTGCTGATACGTTTATGACCAATGTCACTACCATTGTACTGACAATAGAGCTATTAATGGATGATCCATGGGTGAGTAAATTTGATTGACTTTCAAGATAAGATCGTAATGATTTGCATCTTGTGCTTTGCATGTGAGCATTTGTTAATCAACTTTTGATACGTAGTTTACCGTGTTTTACTAAGAAAATAATGAAATTAATGTTAAATAGCAGTGCATACATAAGGCTAGGGGATGGTAAGAAACTCAGATTAAAAAAAAAAAAATGATTGGATTCTGGTAAACCCCGCGATCTTACTACCGGTGTAGCTGGAATCTTCTGCAAATATTCGGGATTTTATTGTTGAGATGTCACTCAAGACCTTGTATCAACAAAAGTGGATTACAGATTGGCCCATAAATGGGAGGACACGTTTGATTCACTTAGAACGTGTAATTGGTCTGGAATACTTCAAAACAAGTACACTTCGACAGAAGAATAGCTCGCAAAATATCCTGTAATCTATTTATCCCCTTGACCTTGCAATAACTACCGCTAGCGGAAGCATCACCTTCTCGGAAGCTAGACATGCATGCATAGTGCGCTTCAGGGATCACAAGACTCATTAGCGGAATTTTACTACTTATACGTTCATGAACACTGTCACTACTATTGTACTGACAATAGAGCTATAAATGGATGATCGATGGGTGGGTAATTTGATTGAATTTCAAGCTAAGATTTTAGTGATTTGCATCTTGTCCTTTGCATGTGAGCATTTGTTAATCAACTTTCAATACATAGTTTACCGTGTTTTACTAAGAAAATAACGAAATTAGTGTTATTATATAGCAGTGCATAGATAAAGGGATGGTAAGAAAATCAGATTTTAAAAAAATGCGATTGGATTCTGGTAAGCCCCGCGATCTTACTTCCAGGATTCTCATCTAAAAGGAAGTAAGTCAAAAGCCTATTACCTGGATTGTTCTGTTGAGATGTCAATCAAGACTTTGTTCTAGAAAAGGTGGATTGCAGGTGGATGGCTCTTAAACAGGAAAACAGTGATTTGATTGACGTGTCAATCATATAAAAGTGTTATCACCTTCCCGGAACCCTTCAGAACAACTACACTTCGACAGAAGGATGGCTTGCAGGATATCACGTAATCTTTTTATCCTCTTGATCTTCCGATGGCTACCACTAGCGGAAGCATCTCATTTTCGGCATGGGATGATCATGTGGGCTCCTACAGACTCCTACAGTAACACGGTAAGAGCAGATTATTTCTTCACAGCAGCAAATTGCTCAACCGCATAATATAAGTTCAAAGCACTCTCCGCATCGTTGTGGTAGGAGGGGTTTTCTACCGCCATACACGCTGTTGTTGTTCAAATATTTATCCTTACTTTTGACTTGAGGTATTTATTTAAGTTTTGAAACAGTCCCTACATAAACTGATTATTTCTGAGTGTTTCGTACACGAAATTGGCCACTGCTCTTTCGCATATTTCCCAGAACTACTTGCGAGCTTATTTTTTACTCCGTCTTTTAACTTCCTCCATTCCGCCTTAAATAAATAATTGTTATAGTGCGACGTTTCATACTGTTCGNTTTCAGACCTGCGTTATAATTAGTTCCCTAGTTCAGACCAATGTTAAATTACCATAAACATAATTTGTGAAGGGCTTTTATTTGTTGATTTTCTTTTCGATAATGATGAAAAGGTGGCTTCTTCTCAAAAACATACCCATATGAAGGCTAGAGTGCAAAATCCATACCCTATTTATAACCAAAATGGCCAAAATCAGCTAAAATCAATACCTTATTTACGACCAAAACGGCTGAAAAACCATACCCTTAGGGTCCGCACGTACCTATTTAGCCCATGTAAGGGAGTACCCCCCGGGGCTGTTCGATCACTTGGGTGTCTGAAGATCTTGCTCATGTAGTGTCAGTGCCGTTGCTACATGCTGCCACCTCTTTGCATTTGTTATAGGAAGCAATGTAAATTACCCGCTTAAACTCTTTCATCTTAGGCAACTTCGAATCTTTCTAAAACCTTTCAACGTCGTTCTAGACAATTTCCTATATTGCCATAGCTCTTAATCACGCTTATTCACGGAGTTAGAATTTCAGTGAGCGACATTTGCAAGAATCTGTGTGGTTGGATTAAATTCAATCAGCAAGGAGCCGAGAACATTCAAACATTTAATTCTATTTTAATCATTTCAATAGAATTTCAAAGACAGTATGTATTAATTGGTGTTTTTGGTGTTAACATATTTGTTTCTTTAACGTGCATAACTAATAACTATCACTATAAAAGTTCTGCATTTCACATTCTGAACATACTAATTGCTTATAACATGGAACCGAGTTTAAGGCCCCGTCCGCACGTATCCGTATATTTTTGAATCCGCAACTTTTTCTTTCCGGATTCGGCTTCCGTCCACTCGCATCCGGCGAATTTGGCAGCGAATCCGGATAGAAAAAATTGCGGATTCAAAAATATCCGGATACTTGTGGACAGGGCCTAAGTTCAAGATCTAAAACTTCTTCAGCCAATTGACAATATTAACACATCATTAAATCAGCTGATGAAAAGTAACATCATGTTTAGTTTTATTTTAATTCCCCAACTAAGTTAGTTATAAATTAATTGAATGGTTCAATGCACGACTTTGAGTAGAAGGAAGCTTGTTGCTGATTGTACAAGGTTAGCCCAGCCGTGATAATCAACCTGAACGAATACTTTAAGGTACACCTCGCTGGCTCTCATAAAGATCTTCATAATTCCGTAATTACGCAAATGCATTCTGCGGGATTACTGATTTATTTTATGACCTTTTCTTTCAATTCGGTCTTCAACATTTATCAGTCCTTTGAAATGCTTCCTTAGCATTAGTAAAGTTATGAACGTTAACATTGGATCATCAGGGAGGGAAAACTCCTGCTTTCGGCCAATATAGTACTTTGTGTAAGTTGTGGAAGCTACATTTTAGAAAAAATTAGGTGGACGGCTTTCATGCAGAGCGAAATGTGGCCTGCGTAAGCTCATAGTGTACCTTAAGATCGCTGTTTTCCTCATCAACAAGAAATGATGTCGTGTAATACTCACATCCGCAAACCCACAAATATACTAGACATGTATGCATAGTGCGCTCGGGCTCACACTACTCATTACCGGCATTTTACTGCTGATACGTTCATGAACACTTTGACTACCGTTATACTGACAATAGAGCTATTAATAATTGATCCATGGGCGAGTAAATTTGATTGACACTCAAGATAAGATCTTAGTGATTTGCATAGTGTCTTGTGCTGTACATGTGAGCATTTGTTAATCAACTTTCAGTACATAGCTCACTGTGTCTTACCAACCTTGAATATCATCAAATGTTATCAAGTAAAAGTGCACGAGGAATGATGTTTCAACAATCAGCGTCCCTGCTCAACCGTAAAACTATTACCGGACGGATCAAAAAAGTCGGCTGTAGCAATTTTGCTTGTCAGAATTTCTTTTTAACATGCTTTTATGAGGCTACAGACCATTTACACTAAATTACTGACATCAAGGTCAATATGTGGCAGGGAAAATGCATTGACGACTTGATAGTTTCAACGACTATTCGGTCCATGCCAGTTTCCTAATGTTACACAGTTTTAAAGTGCCGTGTTATCATTTACGGGATTAGTGTTTTTTATTTTCAGAACTAGTCTAAAAATGTTGGAAATCGTTTGAAAATTCAAGAGATTTTTGCGTGTTTTAAAAGCAGTTCCTTTCTATCGTCTAAGCTTTATTGCTGTCAACGATTAATTTCTTTTCAGGTACGTTTCAACTTCCGTTTGGCTTGGCGGAGGTCATCTGGATCCAACTTCTGTGACCAGAATACAATAAACCAAGGTAGTCTTCTTGGTGGAGGTTCATGGACAGCAAGCTGCACGAATGCTTCCAATCCAAATTGTTTGTCCTCGATAACGGTCGGTGGCGCTAACTACCGTTGTACCGACTTTAGTACAAGCGAAGATTGGACCATGGGCGAAAATAACTTCACTTATGCCTTTCCTCCCGCCGGCGAGATATGGACTGTGAGGTGTGTTGTTTTGTGTAGAGACGGTTTAAATCACTCGTTTTCGTAATAAACAAATGGATAAATTGTGACAATATTTTAGCTATTCAGACTTGTAATACAGATTTGATGCTACGCGTTAACGGTTCCAAGGTTACCGCACTAGATCAGATGCAAGCCCTCGAATGTCCGTTTCCGGCTTAAAAGGTTTGACTAAACTGATTTTCGCTTATAACGAAAGATTTCCTTGCAAATATCATATCCTAGAACAGTCCACTTTCGCAGAGTTCGAACGTAAAAATTCAAGACCACTTCCGGTCCACGTGATCAAATGTGGCCTTCAAATTTGCACACACTAAAGAGTTTAAGGCGAGTACGTGCAAGAAGTTTGTAAAATCACGTCAATGAAACACGAGCAATGGTAACCCAATCACAAGGTGATAAACTAGTTAATAACAATTATTAAATTATTTATGCTTAACCTTTGCGTGACTGTTGAAAATTTAAGGTGGCTCCGAACGACCTTCTTAGAATTTTTTTGAACTTTGCAGAAAGTCGCATCTCATCATTCTTATCACAATTATATGATGGAAAAAGGGGGTCACAGAGCTTGTTTTTGACTTATACGCAATAAAAACTAAAATTAGGGTTTCTAGCAAGTTGTACCGTTGCTGTGGTAACCTGTAATATATAGATTAAGTCAACTCTAAAAGTATTGTTCCATAAAATACTAATCATTTATTCGAAGCAATAGTATTTAAAGAAATTCACCAATAAGCTTTTCATCAAAACCGAATGAACATAACAAACAAACCGAGGAAATCTCCATAAGCCCAATACCGGTATGCAAATTGCCACGTAAAAATGCGCAACAATGGTTGAACCACACAAATGCTTGGAGTTTATCTTGAGAGTTCGTTCGAGTTCAATTTCGCCATATCTCCAGCTTCAATTCCTTTCTTGTGGTGTGGTTTAGAGTTCCCGTGCTTGTAGTATGATCTACAAACGACTTCAAACATCTTGTTCACTTGCGTGAATTCGACATCTTTCATGATGTTTATCACGGCCTTGAAATAGGTTGTCACGTGATTGTACGGTGAATAGCACCCTGTATACCAGTAATTCACTATTAAATATTTTGTCTTTTTATTTTTACGGTAATTAGCTTTTCTAGCTGCTGCTGGATTTCATTGTCCCGTGGTGGCAGTAGTTGGCTGGTGTCTACAAGCGTCAACCTTGCCAGACGATCCGATATTGGAAGAATCAACTCATCTCCAATATCAAGGAGCGCCGCATATGTTCGATTTAGAGAGGGTTGTCCCCAGTCTCTCAGAATCCCTGTTGAGGACCCGGATGGTGATGTTGTCAAGTGTCGTCACGCAACTTACTCAGAGTCTAGATTTAACTATGACAGCTTTCCTTACGGTGTACTTGATGAGGTAAGTGAATGAATTTACGGTTAGGTTTCTGCAAAGTGATTATACGTGTTAAAATAAATAATAAGGGTTAAAGGGACACTGTCACGATGTATTTGCTTAAAACTGTTATTAATTCGCGAAATGGTCCCTAAATTTATGCAATAAGAACTTATTTAGCTCTAACAAAATGATTAAAAGCAGTTTTTTGAAGAAAGTCCACACATATTGCAGCAACATTTTTGAAAAATTTCAACGATTTTCGAGCCAAACTTGAATCTTTGAAAAACTGACACCCTGACGCTTTTTCTGAAAATTCATATCACAATCTGTTTCCATCCCCGCTATCGTTAGTCATCCTCACTTCGTAATGGGTTCTAATCATTTGTCGAGTACTGCTCTACAAAATATAACCATTATTGAACAGCTTCCAATGATCAATATATGCTTTTGAGATTTCCAAAATCATGCTTAAAATGGTGACAGTGTTCCTTTAACTAGCCACTAGGAAGAGACATAAAATTAGAAGTTCAAGCTGCATTCCTTTAGGGTGTCCACTTAAAACAATTAGACTATTAGCCATATTCTGGTGCCGCCTGTTTAACAATTAGACTATTTGTTCTCGATTTTACCTCACTTCATAAAAATCGAAAGCGAATAATGTAATTATTTTAATTGAATTTCAACTAGAATTTTCTGCAAATAACGATTTAAAACTAGTTATATACGGAGAATTTAACTTCACGCTCTGGGCAAATCCCGAGAACTGAAGAGTCATTCAAAATTGGGGTTTGGTCCTTCTTTTAGTCTTCACAGGAATGTTCCTTCGAAAATTCGAATAAACGACAAACCGTCGCTACTTCGTAGACTCCCTATTCTATAGACGAACACGAATTGTTCTTTTTACGCGTCTGTCCTGTTATTGACAATGAATTTCGTAATAACATTGTCAAAGTAGCTGTCAAAGTAGCTGTGGATAGCCGAGTGGATCCACAGCTTCTTTAACAATGTTATGACGAAATTCATGATCAATAACAGGACAGATGCATGAAAAACTGACGTCAAGTTGTTAAATAGACATTGTTAGTAGACATATGGAGAGTAAATCTTCTTTTTAACAATTAAATCATGAGCTCGAGAGTTCATAGAAATCAAGGGTGAAAAATCTAATTGTTTTAGTAGAATCCTAACTGAAATTTACTTCAAATAACGGTTTCCAATTATTTCTCAACGCATTAGTAAACCTCGCGCCTTAGAAAGATCGCTTGGATTGAATTGTCATTTGAGATTGCGCTTGTGCGCGCGTTCATTATCTTTTCGATAATTTCAAGTTTTTTAAAGTCAAGAAAATCAAGAAACCGTAAACGTCCTTCTTTTAGTCTTCTACTAGGGAATTTAATTATCCATTTACATCAAAATGTTCCTCTAAAACTTTGGAAAAACGAAGAAAAAACCGTCGCCATTTCGTAGACGACCTCCAGCCACTGCACACTAATAAACAATTAGATTATGAGCTCGAGATTTCTATCACGCATAGAAATCGAGAGCAAATAATCTAATTGTTTTAGTATAAATCTACTAGTCGTTCAAAACTTTATCTAAAGCCTCTTCACAGACACCAAGAAGGGACCATCATTTCCTTAACAAGCGCACACTGCTACGCTACGCACTATCTATCACAGAATAGATCGTGAGTAGCGTAGCCAATCAGAGAACGGCATTCGTGATAGAACGCTAGTAGATTTATACGAATGGCTGATAGTGTATGATCACTCAGCCAATCATGTTGTAGCATTTGCATCACTGCTCAATTGAAATTGTACTGAATAAAATTAACATTTTATGCTGTCGATTTGATTTCAGCAATCCTGTACACTGAAGTATGAAGGTGGAAGTAACACAGCTGGTACTTACGTTGTAGCACTGACTTTAGAGGACTTCCCGGCAGGAACTACAAACTTTAGTAACGTCAAACCATTCAGCGCTGTGGGGCTACAGTTTCTTGTCATAATCTCTAGTCATTCTGGTTATTGTAATGATACCCCCGTATTTACTGGAAACACTCCCCAAGATGGGGAATGTTCTGAGGTGCAGGTTGGCTCGGTGTATACAGCCGTCATTCAGGTGTCTGTTGCAGACGTCTCAAAGCAGTAAGTTATTGAGATCTGGACAAGTTATTAAGTTGTAGCCAAACGTGTCATCTCAAGGGAATGGGGGAAGAGAGCAGATCCCCATGCCTCATAACAATTCTTAGAATCTATTTATAGTTTACTCTGGATTTCCCAGCACAGAGTGGTCTCTCCTAACAATAAAGATACTGACGTCAATTACATGACCTTTCAACAACCAATCAGCTGTCGGCCTTGAAATGTCAAACAGTCTAGGACTGAACTTACAGATAGATTTGAAACAGTTTTCATTGGAAAAGTCTCCGGCAGGAGGGAAATGTACTCTTATCTTTCCTCTTCGCTATATTGGGAAAATGTGCTTTATTTATTTTTTAGAAGTAGTTATTTTTAAAGAAACAAATTATGTAGAATTGTTTTAACTGTTATTTACTCAGTATTCATTGCAATGATAACTTTTCACAGCATTGTCGAGATTGTCACATCTTCTCCAGTGGGGATGCAACTAACTCCCTTAAGTAACCATGGAGGGATCTATCAAAGAAACGTCACATGGTACCCAAGCCAGCAGCAAATCGGAAAACAGGTGTTCTGTTTTAAAGCACTGGACTCGGCAAGGTAAGACTGGTTAGGAGTAAGTCTCATCGACATTACGGCATAACTAGCCGAATATCATGGGTTTTTTCGCCTATATTACTGTTCAGTTCAATAGCCGTTTTCGCAGTTAACTTTTCTCATTTACATTACAATGTAATTCGACGTGGAAGCGAGGCTATTTCGGGCAGAAACTGCAAAATTGCCCGACAGACATACTGGATTCCACATCTGCTATAATGCAATCGGAAAACGTTTACCGTTTAGAGGGATATGACAATGCGATGAAAGTTACATAGGTCATTGAGAGTTTTTTAACTGCTCACAGGCGATCAATTACTCTCGTTGCGTCGCTGCTTGTGTGTGGACTAGTGAGACAATAATGTTTGGGTCGCTTCCAAAGTTTTGTTTTGATTTAGCAAAGTGCTCCTCCATGTGTAAAGTGTTATAGGGGGAAGTGTTTTCGTACGAGCGTCCTGAAACGCAAGGGTCAGTTATTAAGCAATGGGACAAGTCCGCGGCGGTTTATAAATAACATATATTTCCCACTATCACTGACACTAACCGTTGCGAAAAGATGCAGTTATGGTAAGGTTACTTTCTAAATGGTAATGTTTTTGTTTTTTATTTACTTTGGTTACAGATTGGAAACTGAAATGCGATGTGTGACGATTCTCGTTGGTCTTAGTGAGTACATATTTTAAAGAAGATATCTTTCTTTTCATAAAGAAAAATTGTTTCGCTATCTGCATTTTAAAGCCTTGTAAAATGCGTTTTACACGGCATGTGGTTGTTAATTTAATTGAACACAGAAAAACAAATTTAATGAGTTTTGTGTAGCCGTCAGAAATCTTTGTCTTGCGGTGAGTTAGTTTCTGTTAGCCCCGAGTAAAGTTTGTTTTGCTGTGATAGTTGTTGGCCACCTTAAGTTATAGACACATGAATTGAAATTTGAGGGAACTAGAACTGTCCCAAACTATCAAGAGTGTTTCTTTAACTCAATAGAAACATGTATTCTATTGCATTAGGTAACATCACGGGGAAAGTAAGGGTGATCACGCAGTTATTTCCCTATCCAAAAGTTAATTCCTTCTGCTCGCCCCATCATTCAACCTAAAATGAGCGACAAAAGCAGTTGAGGCACTTTTAGAAAATGACGCTTTTCGATATATATTTAGCCTCTTATTCTATTTTATTTGCATCTAGCGTTAATTCTCTGACACCCCCGGTCCCCCAATTCAATGTTGTGTAGGCGCTGTAGTCTGTGCAGTCTCGGAAATGTAAAAATCAACATTGTTTGGGGGTGGAGGAGGGAGGAGGGAAAATGTTTCCAAGAAGCTCGAAAATCCAATGTTATTGCCAATAGGCCACTTTCGATATATTAAAATACAGCTTGATAGCAAGGTCTAGAGGACACAAACAAAAGAAATGAATAAACATGTCATTCAGTTTTATGGAAAAAGGTCATTCAGTTTCCCTTGTTTGTGTCCTCTAAGACTCACTATCAAGCTGAATTTTAAGATATCGAAAGTGGCCTATTGTCTCAACACTTTTGTCGTCCATTGTAGTTCCCAGGGTCTCTCTTCTAGTGGGCGCGAAGAAGAGAGACCCTGGGAACGAGAATGGCCATGATTACGTTCTGGCTCGAGCTATATCTGGAATAAGTTTTTTACGATAACTGCAAAAATTCTCGCACGCTAATTGGCTAATTTTCATCGTCGATAAGCGGACAGACGCATGAATTTACAATTCATGGCACGCGTCAACGAGCGAGAGCTGACAATTTGATATCATAAAAAATAAATTGACGTCAGTTTTTCATGCGTCTGTCCTTTTATTGACAATGAGTTCGTCATAACATTGTCAAAGTAGCCTGCGGATCCACTCGGCTGTCGCGTCGTGGATCCACAGCTAATTTCACAATGTTATGACAAAATTCATGATCAATAACAGGACAGACACGTGAAAAACTGACGTCAATTTGTTGAATGGAAATCACCTTGCTTTCGTTGGTTCAACTCTTTTTCAGGTTGCAAACGTTTAGCGGGCACTAACGAAAGAAACATTATTAACTCAATTTCTGCATTACAGAAATTACTGTACTTCGTAATGTCTCGTTCAACCTAACAGACAGCTCTTTTCAACAGCTTTACCAAATTAACCAGGAAGCAACAAATTCTTTTAAGAAATTAATTACTAAAGCAGATACATTTTCCAGCATCAAGGCACAACTTTACACGGTCTATTGATTTGTCCTTGTGTTTTACCAAGTTACCGATTGCAACATTTATGGAGATTAATTGACTACTTTGCTTAACTATATTCCAACAGAAACAAACGGAAAACAGATAACAGTTGAATGAAAGGATTTATTTCCCTAGGTAACACTCCACGAGTGATTATAGGAAGTCGCAGCCCAAGAAATCCAATCAGTACGAGAGGACCAGGCTTTGTCCAGTTGAGCATCAAGTTTGACCGAGTGGTAAGATCAGCTTAATCATTAGCATCCTTAATAACCGTAATCCTTGGTTTTTATCTCATCACTATCATATTTATGAACATTTTTTTGTTCTCAGTAGCATCAAGAGAGGATCAAGAGTAACAGAGTGAACCTTTCATATGCTGTAGGCCTTATTTCCAACGTAATCCAAGTCAAGTTATTTTTAGACATTGCACCCAGTTCTTTCACGGATAGATTTACCGCGCACTATGCGTGAATTGTTTTTTCGAGGATCAAAATACGTCTCAAGCTTCCAGGGTTGTCCACGTGAGTAAAATCCACCTCATAGGATTGGCTATCTCTAGATCACCCTGGGATTTCTGACACCAAGAATGATCCAAAATAAATTGAGAAGGATTTCCTCGGGACTGAGGCGTATACAGAGGATTAACTATCTTACCCTTCTTACCCTTAATCTTCTCTTGGTATCGACTATCACCTTTACTAAGCAGCCTTGAATGCTCTTTGATGTCTTACTTTTGTCAAAATGGGACAAAATTTCCGTTAACGTGCGTATTGTCTGATCCGATAACAGATATAAGTTCAGATGAGTTCTTCCTGTTATTTATTTACAATAATCAAAAAGTCTCCAAAATTTCCCCATGCCCTCTCCACCCGGAACGCCTGGACCAAAACTAACCATGTTACTAGTTACTATTGTTTCAGCATAATGCTTCGATTGCATAGTCGCGTGATTGCGGCGAGATTATGAGGGTATATTGTGGGCAACACTAATATTTGTCGCCATTGAAAGCAGCAATAAGAAGGTTACCCATGCCTACACTTGTTTGGTAAAATGTTTTGGTTTATCCACTTTTTGAGGATGTCTTGTATTCCTTACCTCAGCTACTGCCATTTTCAGTAACATGGAAACTCTGAGGTTCACACTGAGTTAAGTTTAGAGGGTCGCAGTTGGCAGATTTCGTAAAATTTTGCTTGTTTCGATTTTAAAACGATTTCCTTTATGTAAATAAAATAAGCATGCAACCTCGATTGAGGTTTGGACGTGAGCATTTATGTGCTATTCAAATTGCAGTACTAGCTTTGTGAACAGAATAATTGAATGGTGTCTCTCATAATTTAACCGCAGGAAAAAAATGGCGACTGCAGCCCTTCCCAGTCGCACAAGGTGCTTGATTCAACTGTTATCGATATTTGTGTTATGTTGTTTTATGTAGATAAAGAAGCCACGCACCTCCTCTTACATCAGGCTTGTTCTTTTGCCCGGTGGACACACAATGTACAAAGTGGACACACTTTCTCAATACGTCAAAATCGGTACAAATGACACTATGCTGTATTTTGGAATGCCCAAAGCAGCGTTCAGCATGAGTGGATCATACGCAATCTTAATAGATAAAGGTGCAGTGGTTGGACAAGGCTGCTCATATGCTGGACCGCCCACACCTGGCATTGAATCTCTGAGCGACTGGCAATTCGTCGTAAACGGTGTTTGTCCATTTGGGTACTACCTCGATCCTCCATCATTTACCAGCTGCGTTGGTATGTATAATAGCGAAATAATTAATGGTGGCTACTTCTGCTTTCTGGCGATCGAGTGCGTCACCAACGAAACCATTCGGAACCGAATCAACTACAATCAGACCCAAAAGTAGTTGAGACACTGCCAAAAAACAAACCTCGCCTCAAGGTAGATTTGCCCTCTCACACACCTGATATTTCGCCTCTCTTACCTTCTAATGTTAAGACAGCGTCAACAAAACATGTTTCAACATTGGTTAGGGGTGGGGTAGGGCTGGAATTTTGGATTTATTATTGAGATGAAAAAAAAAGGTTGTAGAAATATGGCGTGCTTCTTATCTATTTGATCGTGTATCGCTCGGTGTTAAATATAAATATAAAGTATTTTAATACAGTATGTTTGAGAAAAGAGCGTTTTCCTCATTTCCGATTTTAGATAGTTGGCATAGCATGTATCGCACTTTTATCAATAGAATTTTGGCCGGGTTTCAGGAAAATATGAACCATGTTAAGTTTACAGTACGTTGATTCCACAACTTACCATGACTAATATTACTGTTATGCGAATCTGCGATTCGGATCAGAAATATGTGATGTAGGAGACGCTATCCCCATCTTAAAATAACTTTATTGCTAAATCTATCATTTCACATATATCGTATACATTTACTTGCAGACATAAACGAGTGTGAAACTNCCGGCAGGAACTACAAACTTTAGTAACGTCAAACCATTCAGCGCTGTGGGGCTACAGTTTCTTGTCATAATCTCTAGTCATTCTGGTTATTGTAATGATACCCCCGTATTTACTGGAAACACTCCCCAAGATGGGGAATGTTCTGAGGTGCAGGTTGGCTCGGTGTATACAGCCGTCATTCAGGTGTCTGTTGCAGACGTCTCAAAGCAGTAAGTTATTGAGATCTGGACAAGTTATTAAGTTGTAGCCAAACGTGTCATCTCAAGGGAATGGGGGAAGAGAGCAGATCCCCATGCCTCATAACAATTCTTAGAATCTATTTATAGTTTACTCTGGATTTCCCAGCACAGAGTGGTCTCTCCTAACAATAAAGATACTGACGTCAATTACATGACCTTTCAACAACCAATCAGCTGTCGGCCTTGAAATGTCAAACAGTCTAGGACTGAACTTACAGATAGATTTGAAACAGTTTTCATTGGAAAAGTCTCCGGCAGGAGGGAAATGTACTCTTATCTTTCCTCTTCGCTATATTGGGAAAATGTGCTTTATTTATTTTTTAGAAGTAGTTATTTTTAAAGAAACAAATTATGTAGAATTGTTTTAACTGTTATTTACTCAGTATTCATTGCAATGATAACTTTTCACAGCATTGTCGAGATTGTCACATCTTCTCCAGTGGGGATGCAACTAACTCCCTTAAGTAACCATGCAGGGATCTATCAAAGAAACGTCACATGGTACCCAAGCCAGCAGCAAATCGGAAAACAGGTGTTCTGTTTTAAAGCACTGGACTCGGCAAGGTAAGACTGGTTAGGAGTAAGTCTCATCGACATTACGGCATAACTAGCCGAATATCATGGGTTTTTTCGCCTATATTACTGTTCAGTTCAATAGCCGTTTTCGCAGTTAACTTTTCTCATTTACATTACAATGTAATTCGACGTGGAAGCGAGGCTATTTCGGGCAGAAACTGCAAAATTGCCCGACAGACATACTGGATTCCACATCTGCTATAATGCAATCGGAAAACGTTTACCGTTTAGAGGGATATGACAATGCGATGAAAGTTACATAGGTCATTGAGAGTTTTTTAACTGCTCACAGGCGATCAATTACTCTCGTTGCGTCGCTGCTTGTGTGTGGACTAGTGAGACAATAATGTTTGGGTCGCTTCCAAAGTTTTGTTTTGATTTAGCAAAGTGCTCCTCCATGTGTAAAGTGTTATAGGGGGAAGTGTTTTCGTACGAGCGTCCTGAAACGCAAGGGTCAGTTATTAAGCAATGGGACAAGTCCGCGGCGGTTTATAAATAACATATATTTCCCACTATCACTGACACTAACCGTTGCGAAAAGATGCAGTTATGGTAAGGTTACTTTCTAAATGGTAATGTTTTTGTTTTTTATTTACTTTGGTTACAGATTGGAAACTGAAATGCGATGTGTGACGATTCTCGTTGGTCTTAGTGAGTACATATTTTAAAGAAGATATCTTTCTTTTCATAAAGAAAAATTGTTTCGCTATCTGCATTTTAAAGCCTTGTAAAATGCGTTTTACAGGGCATGTGGTTGTTAATTTAATTGAACACAGAAAAACAAATTTAATGAGTTTTGTGTAGCCGTCAGAAATCTTTGTCTTGCGGTGAGTTAGTTTCTGTTAGCCCCGAGTAAAGTTTGTTTTGCTGTGATAGTTGTTGGCCACCTTAAGTTATAGACACATGAATTGAAATTTGAGGGAACTAGAACTGTCCCAAACTATCAAGAGTGTTTCTTTAACTCAATAGAAACATGTATTCTATTGCATTAGGTAACATCACGGGGAAAGTAAGGGTGATCACGCAGTTATTTCCCTATCCAAAAGTTAATTCCTTCTGCTCGCCCCATCATTCAACCTAAAATGAGCGACAAAAGCAGTTGAGGCACTTTTAGAAAATGACGCTTTTCGATATATATTTAGCCTCTTATTCTATTTTATTTGCATCTAGCGTTAATTCTCTGACACCCCCGGTCCCCCAATTCAATGTTGTGTAGGCGCTGTAGTCTGTGCAGTCTCGGAAATGTAAAAATCAACATTGTTTGGGGGTGGAGGAGGGAGGAGGGAAAATGTTTCCAAGAAGCTCGAAAATCCAATGTTATTGCCAATAGGCCACTTTCGATATATTAAAATACAGCTTGATAGCAAGGTCTAGAGGACACAAACAAAAGAAATGAATAAACATGTCATTCAGTTTTATGGAAAAAGGTCATTCAGTTTCCCTTGTTTGTGTCCTCTAAGACTCACTATCAAGCTGAATTTTAAGATATCGAAAGTGGCCTATTGTCTCAACACTTTTGTCGTCCATTGTAGTTCCCAGGGTCTCTCTTCTAGTGGGCGCGAAGAAGAGAGACCCTGGGAACGAGAATGGCCATGATTACGTTCTGGCTCGAGCTATATCTGGAATAAGTTTTTTACGATAACTGCAAAAATTCTCGCACGCTAATTGGCTAATTTTCATCGTCGATAAGCGGACAGACGCATGAATTTACAATTCATGGCACGCGTCAACGAGCGAGAGCTGACAATTTGATATCATAAAAAATAAATTGACGTCAGTTTTTCATGCGTCTGTCCTTTTATTGACAATGAGTTCGTCATAACATTGTCAAAGTAGCCTGCGGATCCACTCGGCTGTCGCGTCGTGGATCCACAGCTAATTTCACAATGTTATGACAAAATTCATGATCAATAACAGGACAGACACGTGAAAAACTGACGTCAATTTGTTGAATGGAAATCACCTTGCTTTCGTTGGTTCAACTCTTTTTCAGGTTGCAAACGTTTAGCGGGCACTAACGAAAGAAACATTATTAACTCAATTTCTGCATTACAGAAATTACTGTACTTCGTAATGTCTCGTTCAACCTAACAGACAGCTCTTTTCAACAGCTTTACCAAATTAACCAGGAAGCAACAAATTCTTTTAAGAAATTAATTACTAAAGCAGATACATTTTCCAGCATCAAGGCACAACTTTACACGGTCTATTGATTTGTCCTTGTGTTTTACCAAGTTACCGATTGCAACATTTATGGAGATTAATTGACTACTTTGCTTAACTATATTCCAACAGAAACAAACGGAAAACAGATAACAGTTGAATGAAAGGATTTATTTCCCTAGGTAACACTCCACGAGTGATTATAGGAAGTCGCAGCCCAAGAAATCCAATCAGTACGAGAGGACCAGGCTTTGTCCAGTTGAGCATCAAGTTTGACCGAGTGGTAAGATCAGCTTAATCATTAGCATCCTTAATAACCGTAATCCTTGGTTTTTATCTCATCACTATCATATTTATGAACATTTTTTTGTTCTCAGTAGCATCAAGAGAGGATCAAGAGTAACAGAGTGAACCTTTCATATGCTGTAGGCCTTATTTCCAACGTAATCCAAGTCAAGTTATTTTTAGACATTGCACCCAGTTCTTTCACGGATAGATTTACCGCGCACTATGCGTGAATTGTTTTTTCGAGGATCAAAATACGTCTCAAGCTTCCAGGGTTGTCCACGTGAGTAAAATCCACCTCATAGGATTGGCTATCTCTAGATCACCCTGGGATTTCTGACACCAAGAATGATCCAAAATAAATTGAGAAGGATTTCCTCGGGACTGAGGCGTATACAGAGGATTAACTATCTTACCCTTCTTACCCTTAATCTTCTCTTGGTATCGACTATCACCTTTACTAAGCAGCCTTGAATGCTCTTTGATGTCTTACTTTTGTCAAAATGGGACAAAATTTCCGTTAACGTGCGTATTGTCTGATCCGATAACAGATATAAGTTCAGATGAGTTCTTCCTGTTATTTATTTACAATAATCAAAAAGTCTCCAAAATTTCCCCATGCCCTCTCCACCCGGAACGCCTGGACCAAAACTAACCATGTTACTAGTTACTATTGTTTCAGCATAATGCTTCGATTGCATAGTCGCGTGATTGCGGCGAGATTATGAGGGTATATTGTGGGCAACACTAATATTTGTCGCCATTGAAAGCAGCAATAAGAAGGTTACCCATGCCTACACTTGTTTGGTAAAATGTTTTGGTTTATCCACTTTTTGAGGATGTCTTGTGTTCCTTACCTCAGCTACTGCCATTTTCAGTAACATGGAAACTCTGAGGTTCACACTGAGTTAAGTTTAGAGGGTCGCAGTTGGCAGATTTCGTAAAATTTTGCTTGTTTCGATTTTAAAACGATTTCCTTTATGTAAATAAAATAAGCATGCAACCTCGATTGAGGTTTGGACGTGAGCATTTATGTGCTATTCAAATTGCAGTACTAGCTTTGTGAACAGAATAATTGAATGGTGTCTCTCATAATTTAACCGCAGGAAAAAAATGGCGACTGCAGCCCTTCCCAGTCGCACAAGGTGCTTGATTCAACTGTTATCGATATTTGTGTTATGTTGTTTTATGTAGATAAAGAAGCCACGCACCTCCTCTTACATCAGGCTTGTTCTTTTGCCCGGTGGACACACAATGTACAAAGTGGACACACTTTCTCAATACGTCAAAATCGGTACAAATGACACTATGCTGTATTTTGGAATGCCCAAAGCAGCGTTCAGCATGAGTGGATCATACGCAATCTTAATAGATAAAGGTGCAGTGGTTGGACAAGGCTGCTCATATGCTGGACCGCCCACACCTGGCATTGAATCTCTGAGCGACTGGCAATTCGTCGTAAACGGTGTTTGTCCATTTGGGTACTACCTCGATCCTCCATCATTTACCAGCTGCGTTGGTATGTATAATAGCGAAATAATTAATGGTGGCTACTTCTGCTTTCTGGCGATCGAGTGCGTCACCAACGAAACCATTCGGAACCGAATCAACTACAATCAGACCCAAAAGTAGTTGAGACACTGCCAAAAAACAAACCTCGCCTCAAGGTAGATTTGCCCTCTCACACACCTGATATTTCGCCTCTCTTACCTTCTAATGTTAAGACAGCGTCAACAAAACATGTTTCAACATTGGTTAGGGGTGGGGTAGGGCTGGAATTTTGGATTTATTATTGAGATGAAAAAAAAAGGTTGTAGAAATATGGCGTGCTTCTTATCTATTTGATCGTGTATCGCTCGGTGTTAAATATAAATATAAAGTATTTTAATACAGTATGTTTGAGAAAAGAGCGTTTTCCTCATTTCCGATTTTAGATAGTTGGCATAGCATGTATCGCACTTTTATCAATAGAATTTTGGCCGGGTTTCAGGAAAATATGAACCATGTTAAGTTTACAGTACGTTGATTCCACAACTTACCATGACTAATATTACTGTTATGCGAATCTGCGATTCGGATCAGAAATATGTGATGTAGGAGACGCTATCCCCATCTTAAAATAACTTTATTGCTAAATCTATCATTTCACATATATCGTATACATTTACTTGCAGACATAAACGAGTGTGAAACTCCTTCAAGTTCCGGTAAGTACCCTGAACTCTTACCTGACTTTGTAGCCTACAACTTTTTGTCGTTGCTCTTCTATGGTTCTCATATCTCTGCAAAGCATCACAAGAATGCTATTCCTGAAGGAGCATTTTTAAGCGGCATAGTTCATCTCTTTTAATTTTGTTGAATAACGAGTGTTACGAGATTTCAACAAAGAAAGAATTTTTAACATTCCACTGTGCACTTCTTGTAAGTTTTGCAACCGCATTGATTAATTTATCAAGTACTTTTGAACGAGGGAAATCATGATCTTGA